ATCCCTGCTGAAGGGTGAAGAGAATTTGATATTTAAAATAGATTCGATAGTATTTTTATAATGAACCTCAAGGTCTAATAATATTTCAAGTGACATGAAAATTGTTGATAACGAAAGGCATGTAAAATTTTAGGAATGATGCTGAGCAGGTAAATGTTTTAAAATATTTTTCATTTTATTGAAGATAAGAAATTCATCTCTAAAATGAAAATAGCACTTTCATCTCCAATGGGTGAACCTAGGTGGATAAATCTAGTTTTATCCATTATAATAAAATTTTCAGGTGGGTCCGATTCAAGGGTGTGATAGATTAATTTTAAAATAAATTTTTTTAAAAAATTTGTTAATTTAAAATTTTGTTTAAATGTCTGATTTTGTTCACAAAGGATATGTAACAATAATATAATTTCCCGTTCAAATAGATTTTCTTTTCTTAAATTGTTACATTGCTGGGTTTCATAATTTTATAACCAAATTCAAATAATAAACCTATGGCTAGGATTTTTTAAAAATATATTATATTTATTTTTTTATAGCTAATAATGGCGATTTCAAATATTTGGTTTTAAAATATATGGCCTGGCCATATTTTTTTAAAAAAAATTTCAGGCCCGGCCTAAGTATATTTTAAAAAAATTAAAATACGTCCCGGCCTGTGTATCTGGGCCGAGCTTAGGGCTGGGCCTGCAGATATCTAATTCAAATAATTGATTATAATTATTATATCCTAATTTTTTTTATATTAAATATATACGTTCAGTAAATAAATAATGCGTTTATGAATGATGTATAAAGTAACTTATTATGTAACTAGTTACTTTTGAAATATAACTGAAACTAATTATATTTCAAAGTGACTTTTAACAACACTTCTCCCAACATACAATCATGGGCCAATGATTTTTTATCACTACCCAACTTTTCCACCATATCCCGTATACTACGGGGTGCTCGTAATTCCTTCGCAGAATCCTTCAACAAGTTAATCCTATTAACAGTAAACAATCCTGGAAATCTATCAAATTGGAAAAACTTACTAAGTTTCACTAATTTCACCCTTAAAATTCCCTATCCAAACATATTAAAACATCAATCTCCCTCTTCAATCCCGATTCTATACCAACCTCTACACCCCATACTTACCAACCCAATCAATCTGCCATGGCCCGTAAGGCCAAAATAGTTTCTAATAAAATATAGTCTCAACATAAATTCAGCCCTTCGCGCCTTGACTTTCGAAGACTCTCTAGCTCCCAACAATGAGTCCACTCTAGAAGCTCTGTTTCTAAAACACCCTACATATGGTTCAGAATTTGTTTACCTCCCGATATCAACATCGATGAGACAATTAAAGCAGTTAGATCTTTTAAAAAAGAATCATCTGCAGGCTTTGATGGCATTCGTGCTATCTTTATCCAAGACATTTTAAAACCCAACATTCCATAAAAGCCCCACTACAGAACCTTACCAGGTTATTAAATATAATTCTCAACAGGCCCCTTCCATCACCTATCATTCCTATTCTCTTTGGGGCTCGCCTAATAGCCCTCAAAAAAGGAGCCCAATCGCTGTTGGGCCTTTTCGAAGAACCATCTCTAAGATCATTGCTTCACGAATCAAGGAATATCTTTCCTCATTCCTGTCGCCACTTTAATTAGGGCTCGGTGTTCCCTGAGGCGCTGAAATTTCGACTCATCTAACTCATATAGCTATAGCTAACAGTATCCCCGATGATGTGGTCCTAAAACTCGATTTCAACAATGCATTTAACACTATAAAACGTCAACACTTTGTTCCCCTGTTTTGCAATAAATATCTCGAATACTCTTCTTACATCCTCTACAGTTATTCAAGCCCCACTTTTAATATAATAACAACATAATCAAATTTCAAGAGGAAATTCAACAGGGAGACGCTTTAGGCCCAGCCCTTTTTTGCATTGAGATCCACAGGATAATCCAGGAAATTCAATATAAATCTTTCCTTACCTTAAATTCCTGGTATTTAGATTGGCATTATCTCGAGCAACCTTTCCACTGTCCATTCCTCTCATAATCTAGAATCTCTCACATATCACAGGGCTATCACTCAATTCCCTCAAATGTGAGATTTTTTCCCTAAATCCTACATCCATTCCTTCAGACTTGACATACCACGTCATAGAGATGTGATGACACATCTTGGATCACCTTATATGGGGTAAAAAGGCCATCGAAACTTTTCTAAACAAATCCCTTAGCAATTTATCTAAATTAAACACATTATTTAATTACCTCTCCGCCCATCAATCATTTTTTTTAATAAAAATTTTTCATTATACCTAAAATCCTCTATGCCCTGAGATCTTCTCCGATCTTCAAATGTAGCGACTTTCTCGTTCCCATGAAACCCAAATCAAGGGCCTTCTCGATAATATATTAAACTTAAAATCTTCCAATTCATCCTGGCTTCAGGCCACCCTTCCCAGCAAATCTGGTGGTATTGGTATCCGATCTCCGATACAACTATCCCTCTCAGCCTTTATCTCTTCCCGTCTGGCTGCTCAATCTAATATCGATAATAGATCCGCTCCTTTAGATTTTGATCTTTCTCAGGCCTTCACTTTTTGGGACAGCTGCCCATCCACCCTTTGTCGTCCTGCCTCCAACATTCAAAAAGACTGGGATGCTCCACTGATCGCCCATTCCGTTGATTATCTAATTTCGAACAGGCACTTTGACGACAACCCCAATAATTTAGTATTATATGCAAAAAACTCAGGTAACGAATGGTTGGAAGCCAACCCCAGTTCCAACCTTGGCCTCCTCTTTACTGGTGAATAGCTACGCATTTCCATAGCCCTCCGCCTTGGCTGTAATGCCGTAGTTCCCTCAATTTGTATCGACTGTGGCCATCCCATTGAATCGAAAGCTTACTATCCCTTGCACTGCAAATTCTTCCATGGACGACAACCGCGCCATAAAGCTATCAACAACTTTCTCTTAGCTGCCCTCAAAACGGTTAATATTCCATCCACCTTCGAACCAGTGAGCCTCTCAAACAAAAACGCCGTATATCCCTCATTACCTGGACTAATGGTCTCCCGCTCGCTTGGGACTATACCTGTGTCGATTTTGCAGCAAAGTCCAATCATTTTCTACCATTGAAAAGGCTGAAATCCTAAAGAAAAACAAATTGCTGGCCTTACCAACACCGTGTTCATACCAATCGCTACCAATACCCTAGGCATGTTTACAAGTGATGCCCTCAATTTCATTAAAATCATAGGAAAAAAATGAGACAGATTTCAGGGGACCCAATGATAGGAAAAAAATGAGACAGATTTCAGGGGACCCAATGATTTTACCTTTGTCAGCAGATTTCCATCTGCAGGTCCAATTTTTTAAGCATTCACTCTTCTCTAGGGTGATTTACTTTTTTTAAATAATTTATTTCTCGGTTTTTTTTATACATATATAATTTTTAAATTCATTTTTAATATATGCTTATTTGTTTTTTTTAATATATATATTTTTAATTATTTAGTGTATATATCTTAAAAGCATTAAATAAAATAAAAATTTTGAAAAAAAAAATTTCTCAGGATAAAATTGATGCTAGATTTTTTTTAAATTCTATAGAATTGCAAATATTAACTATACTCAAATATTAATGCAAATTTAATATATGAAAAAACAAATGGATATAACATGTATATATGAAAATCAATGGTGGGTCTGTTAATTTGCATCCTCTAGGAAATTCTTATGCATATCTCACCTCAATTGACAAATTGTGGATGCATAAAGCACTCATTTTAGGTGTGATCAGTCCTTCAACTGCTACGAGGCCAACATATACTTTATATATAGATTAGACAATTAAAACTACTCTTCCTTTTAATCTATTTGTTTAAATTATAATTATTTATATCTCTAACTATATTTTGTTCAAATATATTTTAAATCATGGACTGAATTTGAATATATCTATATTTCTATTTCATTAATAAAAATGAGTAATAAATTAAATTATATAGGATAGATATTTATTATTGGAAATTTGATAGATTATTAATATATCTAAGAGCATTTTCCCACACAGCCCCTCAGTTTAATTTGTACATTTAATAGAATTCAAAATATTTTTGTATAAAAAGTGAAAATATCCTTTTATTGGTAAATTAGCAACAAATTTTTATCTATAATCAGTAGTTTTATGCAAATAAAAAATTCAAATTTTGTAAAAAAAACTATATTCAGGACCACTGATATTGTCACCAAGGTTTTCACATTCTATATATATTTATAAAAGGTGTCTAAATAAAATACAAAAAAAAATTTTTTCAAAAACCAACCCCCCTTGGATTCAGATAAGCTCAAGCAGGGTTCTATATGTTTTTGTCTTTAATGAGTTAGCAGGTCCAGTTAAAAAAATTAGCATCAGGCATGAATAAGCATGATTTTTTTGTCAGTTTGAGAGTTAGTGGGTGGATAGAGGTATGAATTTTAAAAAAGTAGACCTGTGCACCTCTAATATTTATCATCATATTTTTAGTGTAAAAAAAATTAGTATATCTATAGTAAGATCATGAAGTTTAAATATAAATGTTTAAAAAGTTCTAATTCTTTTTGTGAACACCTTAGTTAGAACCCCCCCCCCCTCATTTAAGGTAATGACCCTTTTAACTAATGCCATTAGAAAAATATTAAAAATAAAATATTGAAAAAATAGCTAAAAAAGTGTTAAATGTGTATTACCATTTTATAAATTTAAACCATATTTTGATAAAAAATTTGATAATTGAAGAATTAAAATTGCTTAGAAACATTTATTGACATATAATATTTTCTATATTTCAAATAAACAAAAATAGTTAATTTCTACAAAATATATGGCATTGGATTAATTTAATGGCAATCACATCATTTTTTTATACTGATATAGGTTAGTTTATAAAATAATAATGTACTCCTTAAAAAATGTAGTAAGTAAATTAATATAGTCGTATAAAAAATTACCAGGTAAGTCCATAAAAAATATAGGATAATCATATGACACTCCTGCATTATTGACAACAACTTTTAAATTCTTTTCAACAATACCAGTAACATGATTTTGAATAAGGCTTCCAATAACTTTATCAACAACTTTGTAATCATCAACACTAAAATCTAAAAGGCCAGTTTGTACCCACTCTTTGTTATCCCATGTATTCAAATTGTCAATTTCTCTTATTTTTTTTACTCTTTCATCATTTTGCAACATCTCTTTTGTATCCATTAATTTTTCTTGAGATCTCCCAATTAAAATAATATTAAATCCTAATCGGGCAAGGCATAAAGAATAGGCTTTACCAATTCCATCTGTTGAACCTGTTATCAAAGCCCAACTACCTTTGCAGAATTTTAAATTTTTTCTTTGTTTATCGATATCATTATTGTATATGTACTTGGCATACATATATATTAAGAAATAATCCCATAATAATTTTAATGACATAAAAGCAACAATAAAACAAGATATAAGTGTAGCCATTTTCCCTATTTTACATTGATCATTATATTGAACCATGACGAATTTTTCAGGTTAAATTTTAAAAACAGATGATTTTGGATGGGTTCAAATATTTAGTGTTAGGCTTAAGATAAAACTAAAAGATTTAACTAATATCTCGAGAAAATAGGTCAGTAATTCTAGTAGGAAAAATTCTAGCAAGATTTTAGAATTTGGGGACCTACAAAAATTTAAAATATTAGTATTTTTATAAATAAATAATGAATATATCGGATTTTCTACTCGAAGCATATTTAACGTTATGAACCCTGCTCTATAGGTGTGGCAAGGGGCCTTAGAAAACTGTTCTCGTAAATATCACTTTGAAGTTAAACTAGTATAAACCCCGTACCCCACCTTTCAAAAGTATATTTCAAATAATTATAAACAAAAATTTGAAAGAACAATTGGTAAAAGTTAATAACTTTTAAAATAAATATTATAGTTAATTCCACAAAAAAATTAAAAATCTAAAACTATTTTTATAAAATTTTACTCAATTATTATTTTATGGACTTTATCCACTTTTTCTCCAATATATTTTTTTAAATTTATTTATATTAATAAACTATGTTCTCTACATAATATACTGATTCAATATTTCAACAAATATTATTTCTTATTTCCTCATAAACTATTGTTAAATATTTTTTGAACTTTGCATATTCATTGTCATATTACATTTAGTTTTGCGTAATTATTGTAATATTTTTGGTCAACTCATCATTATTAAAAATATATATTTTATATTTTTGAGGAGATTATTAATAAATATATATTTACTTTTCAAAATGTGGAAGATACAGTGAAACGATACACATGTTTAAATATACTATAAAAGGGGGTAAACAAAATAAGATTTTATTTTTAATAGAATAAAGATTGAAATTAAATATGGACAAGCAATTAATTAAGAAGATTAATAGTTGATTAATCATTATAAAAATATATATAATTTGTGATGAAAATGGAATTTTTTTTTTATTTTCTTTGAGAATGCTCAAGTAAGATATTTGATTAAATTTCATTTAAAATTCTAAATCATTTTTTGTAAAAAGTCTTTTTAATATTTGAAAATATTTTAGAATTTCTTAAATGTAATCTATTTTGTATATCCATTTATTTCGATAAAAATATGATAACACTATAAACTTTTATAATAATTTCGATAAAATAATTAATACATAAAAAATATAATTATAATTTATCAAAATATTCCATTGTTCCACGAATTTGAAGTTGGTACCTTTTTTTAAATTAAAAGAGTTAATATTATAATTACTATTACAAATCGATTATAAAGATTACCTAATTAATCAGTTGCCCGCGATAACCCAACTCCAAATAGCTTTGCATGTGATTGTAGAAGTTAGTGAAATCATAAGGAATAAATCCGTGTAAGAGTTGAATAATATTCCTAACAATTTCATCTCTTGAATTAGGGCGGGGATTGATTGCTCTAAATTTATTTTTCAAAACTCCAAAAAAATTTTCAATGGGATTTAACTGAGGTGAATAAGGTGGTAGGTATTCAATCCTACCTTTATAAGAATCGATAAGATGGCTTCTATGGATAGATGCATTATCCATTACAATGATTGCATCTGGTGGTAGGATACTAATAAGCTCCGTCATAGAATCACGGAATAATAGCCCATTATAAGCTCCGTCTATTATTTTATAATGAATTACCCCTCCAATTCCGATTGTACAAAGGATACTTACATTTTTACCCTTAGAGGATAGGATATTTATTATTGGACGGACATTGTATGGCGCCCAGGCGTAGATTGGTACAACATGCAAGTTTATTCCAGTCTCATCTAAGAAATATAAATTTTCTCTTGGGATATTTAAGATCTTTGCACAATAAATTTGCCGAATAATTGGGAGTTTTCATTTAAATTAGAAAAATTAGTATTACTATTGGATAATAAAGATTCTATATTAAACATTTTTTTTTATTATTTAAGAAAAATTAAAAATAATTACTAATATGTAAGTATTTTAATTTTTTATTTTGAATTAAATTTTAACACATTTTTTTTATAATGATTACAACTATATTAATCTTCTTAATGCTTGTCCATATTTAATTTCAATCTTTATTCTATTAAAAATAAAATCTTATTTTGTTTACCCCCTTTTATAGTATATTTAAACATGTGTATCGTTTCACTGTAATATAAAAGACATAAAAAAAGGTAAAATTATTTTTATTATTTTTTATTTTGTTTAAAATTATTATCATTTATTAGTTTGTTAAAATTATTATATCAGTATTTTTTTTGTTTTTAATTCTGTCTTAATATATGCTTGTTATGTGGAAATGGAGTTAGTATGATCTTACCCCACCTTCAAACCGCGCTTTTGACCGAAAGAATTCTCGGACCCTGGCATGAAGTCACTCGAAATCGGCTGATCAGATGCGCTTTCAAACTATTGGCCTTGGGAAAGTACCCTGCTCCATGCATAACGCTCTGTATTTATGCCTTACAGTCTTGTTTAGCCACCTGTTATGATTATTATTCTTATAGTAAGGATATCACAAGTAATAATACGGGTTTGTTAAGAGATTACTCACCTATAATTGGCACACATTCTCTCTTTGACGACCACACTTGCTGGCTGATTACTACCTTGGTCAAGGCGGTGTCAGAATATGAGAACAAGTACAGAGTGGGATATTTTTATCTCAATTCTCCCCTTTCCCCTCTTACTCACACAACATATCGAGCTTCTAGAATTAGTTCAAACTTTGCTGACTTTAATTTCTATTCTATTTAGATTCGTGATTTCATCCATGGTGTCAGCATTCACAGGAACTGACTCATACCTATGTACATTAATGGCATCTTCATCTCGCACCCCTTACACATCCTACATCCCTACCTTTCAAGGGCCAGTATGCCCTAGCCACCGGATCAATTTTAATTCCATACTTTCCTCATCCCTCTTCTTACTCTACCTAACATTTCTTCGCGTTGAACCTGAATTCCGCTCCTCACTCTCCTTTATTCTCCAAGGTGGTTTACCCGTTTTTCTGCCGCCCGACTCCTCTACCTTGGTTCACCATTTGGCGGACTTTTTAACTCCCCTTCGATCGGAACCGGAACCAAGCTCCTTTAGGCGAGACCACCTCCATTCTTTCGTAGACTGGCTATTAACCGCTTGGCGCCCGCTTGCGGCCCATCTCCATACGACTGACTACAAGGGGGCTACCTTTATTCATCGCTTACTATCTCCTATATTTGTAAATTTTTCAATAGATTCCATAGATTACTGTAAATCGCCATATACTATCTCTTTATTAAAGATGATGATCGTAAACTTCGGTGTTCACCTAGACACTCCTATTAGCCTTAATTGGCGATTACCACATAATGTGTCTCTCAATCACCGAAATCGGATACTCAAATATTGAATGGCGCAAAGACTGGTCAAATCACTCGCATATGCAATATTATACCGTTTGAGACTATGGAGACTGGGAAGGTCCCTCCGCTCACATGTTTGGCTGCACGGGCCATTAATTTATCCAATAATTTTAGTAGCATTATTTCTTTACTTCCCTTGGGAGTGGCAGAACTTATACATATACATAACTTGGTTCCCCTAACTTGAAATTAGGGGAGAGGGGTGTTATAATCAACTATTGAAATATCTATTTGGCCGACGTAATATATTCTAGTCTCAACTTAAAATTTTTCTAGAGTATTTCTCTAATAATAATTAAATATTTTGAATTACTAGTAAATCAAACAATCAATGTTTTTATTATCACCATTGGGTTGTATTGTAAAAACATAATTATAACTTTTTATGATTTTTTTAAAATTCAAACTCCGTTAATTAGGTTCATGTCGCATGGAGATAAGTTATTTTTGTTAAATTAGTGTCTAACATTTTTAATATTATCGGCAAAGATCAAATTCTATATTGTCACTATAATGATCTTATACCTATTTCTATGCGAAAAATATTCAGATATTATATTACGATCTTTAAATTATAATATATGTTATCTATATGTTTTTAAAAATAAAATTTTATATTATTTATATAAATAAAGGATACATATTTACACGAATAAATTTTATACATAAAATTATAGTAATTATTATTTATTTTTTTAATCTTACATGTTTATTTCATAAATATATGCTTTATATTTGTTGTATCTCTCGATTTGTAATTGACAGATATGGACATCTTTGTTTTAAGATTTGTTATTACGTGAGATCATATATATTATTGTGAATTATACGGAAATAAAATTATAGACATGAAATATTGGTTTGGAGTTTTTAAACAATATACATATATAATATTGGTGCCGTTTTAACCACGGATGAGACAATTGGGAAGAATTTGGCGTAATATAAATATAGAAATCTACGATCATGGAAAATTAAAAAAAAAGAGAATATTTAAATACAAAGGTTTCAAAAAAATTTATATATGTAACGTATAAAATTAAAAATAAAAAAGTAGAAAAAAATTGGAATAGATGGTAGGGGAAAAAAAAGAAGAGAGGAAAAAAGAGAAATTAAATGCAATATGTTTTGAAAAGAGAAATAATGTATTAATTTAAATAACTATTAATAGAATTAAATTAGATGAATTAAAAATTAGAAATTTATAAATTAATTGATTTATTTTTAGGAATTGGAAATTATATGAATTTAAAAATGATGGAAAATGAAAGGAGTTTATATTGATTAAGATGTAAAAATAAAATGTTAAAATGAAATTATTTTCAGACATGAAGCATAAATATAAGGTTGAGATTAAGCATATACAAAGAATGATTGAAAGTTAAGAAGTTGCGGGTTAATATTTTTGATATTTATAAGTTAAAATTTTAGATGAGTAATATTTTATATATAGTAATAGTTTATATAGTTGAAAGAATTAAATTTTAAATGTATGAATTTATAAAAGTAAAGTTAATGTTGAACAAAGAAAGAGAGGGATGAAATTCAATAAAGTGTGTTTAACCTCACGTTATGCAGGGCAGAAAAGATTGCA